ATATTTGAGTAATAACTGAACCAAGCAAAAAGTACAAAACTTGAATATGGTGAAAATGAAATGATCTTTAAAAATGGAACATCCAAAAGTAATTTGTGCATTAAAGTATTAAAAACAAGTGCATAAAGCATCAGATGATGCGTCGCATATGAAAAAAAAAAAAAAAAAACTATGATTGTTTTGAGTACCGAATACTGGAGTTAAGCGTTCTTTATCATATAAATAAAAAATACTTATTCTTATTATTCCCGTTCTTTTGAGACGGATTATAAATTTATTGTGGGAAAAATATAAAAAAAAATCGAAAAATATTGATATATCGATATTTTGAAAGTTACATATCAAATATCATATTGATATTATTTCGAAACTTCATCATCGATACGATATATTAAAAATATTCGACAGCCCTAGTGTTAAGGCATTGAGCATGAAATCATTTGCAAGAGTGGCATTTGGAGTTTGTCGCTGCAAGAGTGGAAATGTGGATATGCTCTGACCATTTCATGCTCTCTCACTTTACACTCAATGCAGCACTAAAACCACTGTACAATTGATAGGGACACCAATTGGCTATAGGAACCAGAAGGCACTGCAAACTGCTAATAAACACTTCGACTCGGACTTAGGCCTGACGGGAGTACGCGCCTTTCCACATCAGCATCTCGCTTTGCTCTCTCTTTCTCTCCTTCTATCCCTGCCCCTCCCTTGACGAGTTTGTCTATATAACGCTAGTGTTTCTTAGTCCTCCTGTTGCATCAGTTTAAGCTTTCTCTTGTGCAACCCGTATTTGCCTTATGGCTCATCTCAGTCTTCTTTCTAATCCATTCAGCAGCTTCTCTTGCCTTTTAGCTAGAACAATAGAATCCACGCTTTGTGCTGAACCAAAGCACAGTCTAAGTCCAAACAAAGCTCATAGACATTTTATATAGACTTCTAATGCTCATTCATGAAAGTGAAAAGAGCATATTGGCTCTTATTCATTGTACGTCTTGCTGGCTATGCGTGCCTCTGTCTGCTTTTCTGTACGTCCGTACATTTAAAATTTGGAATATATAGATGGGTGAGCCTTGTTTAATAAAGTATTAGGATTATTTATGGGGAAATGCTAGTACTTCAGTTCCTTTTATAACCAAAGATCAGGATATATATAAGATATAGCGCATATATATTTACGCCGATGGACTGGGAAAATAGACATGTCTAAAGCTCCAAAATGGAGCAGTTACAGTCTCTTCTCCTGACTCCTATGCCACAAGAGATTCAACTCCGTCAGCGATGCCCGTGTGCAAGATTTTTACTTGTTTCATTTTTATGGCTAAAACTAAAATTCTTTTAGCTGCACATAAATGTCTACTATGAACACTTCATGGCCATATTAATGCCACGAAACATCAAATTCTGTCCTGCGCTGGCTGTGTAGCAAACTTTTGCACTTAGCCAACGGTTATTTCTGTTTATTTAGCTGATTAGCTGTTGCTTCTGCTTCTGCTGCTGCTGCTGCTGTTGCTGTTGCTTTTATTATCGCTCTTTGATTCAGCTGAAATTGAGGAACTCGCCCACAATTTGCAGCTAATCAAAGTTAGTTAAGTGCTCTGCTGCTGCCACTTGTTCAACCCAAAGCCCAAACATAATCATAAAACGCAAGCAAATTGATTTCTTCTATATACAAATACTTTCACTTCTTCATTTCACATCTTTCGCTTTGTCGAATCATTTTAGATTTACTCAGCTCGCGATTATTTAAATATTTCTCATGCATATTTATATCGTTTTTCGCACATCTCGAAGGCAAAGAGCATAAATTTCGTTTGACTTGAGGAAATCTTCACTTACATTTGCCGTGGAAAATCTTCTCGATGTTTGTTTGTTGTTTTTGCTGCTGTTGCTGTCGTTGTTGCTGTTTCTGTTGGCGCTTTTGTTTAATTAACGCGCAGCGCCCGCTGTTTGGTTATTTATTTATACAAATGATTCGAAATTTATCTGGCGCCAAAAACATATCACAAAACCCGACAACAACTACACAATGAGAAAGAAAGTAGGAAGGAAACAGAAACGCGACTGCTCCACATCAGCGCAGCCAGGCAAATGAAACGAACGCGAATGGTTCTCCACTGGCCCAGCACCGCCCAGCCCCGCGCAGCCCAGTCCAGCCCAGCAATCGCCTGGCCATCGCGTAGCTGTCCATCATATTCATATGCAAGCAGACTGAAAGCAACCCCCAACCCACGGGCAACACTCGTAGAACTGTGCGAAAGCCGCCTGAGCAACTGCTTTGCCGACACACGAGCAGCAGAAGCAGCCACAGCAGCTCGAGCAAGCAGTGCAATACGAGTAATATGTGAAAGCAGGGGAGGGGGCACTGAGTGAAGTGTGTAAATGGCAGCGAGCAACAAGTTGCAACCAAATTGATGGGAGTGTGGGTGGTTGGGTGTGTGCGTATGTATGTATGTGGGTGCATGTGTGTGTGCGTCTTCGTTTATGTGTGCATATTCTATGCCCTTGAAATATGTCTTAAGGTCTATGTAGATGGCGTGGAAGAGTATGGTTGAACAACTAAACGTGAGTCAGTTTGTAATGCACGACTAAGAGACGCCTTGGAAAACATACAAACTTACATTTTATTGCATAGGGAAATAGTCAATGTCAAAGCTGAATATGAATATAAATATAAATATAAATAATTAACAAATTATAGTTCTTCTATTTCTATTTGGCTCTCTCTCACTCTCAATCTCTAACTCTTTCTTGTTTTCCCTCTCTTTCTCACTTTCATCACATATTCTCAACTATATTTACAGGGTATTCAAGCAAATCATTGCCATGTCAGCCGCTGCACTTTGTATATGACAATTAATGAAGGGCAGGCGAGTGCTCAGAGCTCTGACTAATTTGCCAGCCTGACCGAGCGTTGAGTTTCGAGTCGAATGAATTGTTAGCCACAAATAAATGTTGCATATTTCTCTTCAGCTGGTTGTAAGGAGCCCAATCACCAAATCACCCATCCCCATCCCGCGCCAGTTCATGCAATATGCAATGCCAAGTGCTTGCAGCTGTTGTGGTTTACATATTCTTGACTAAACACGCAGAGGGAGCCAGAGAGAGAGAGAGGGAGAGAGAGAGAGAGAGAGAGAGAGAGAGAGAGAGGGAGAGAGAGAGAGAGTGTATGCATTTGAGTTTCTTACTTGACTGGCTGTTGTATAGATTCCACAAACTGATGTGAATAATATAGTACAATATATTAGAGAGAGCTTCTTATGCCTGCTAAGAGATGAGTTTATCAAAACTTGCTGAGAGCTTCGAGAATAGTTATTGTCAGTTCTAAATGATAGAAATGATGGAAATGTATATAAAGTTTCTTATTTCAACAGCTTCATTTGGTATTTAGATATTTATGATTAAATTTCAAGTCGATTTCATAGAACCAAACTAAGTTTTTTCTTCCTCTTTCTTCATTTTTTACAAAGCTGCATATGGACCGGACTAGTTTTCTATGTTTAGATAATGAGGTTTATTTTCTATGATAATTTTAGCACTTAGAGAATATATTGATTTATAGGAATGTATTTATATGTAGTATCTGTTGGCATATGTATTATAGCATCTTTTGTTCAGTATATATCCATAAGGGACTAAGGAAGTATCTATGAATTCTAGCATGTATTTATAGTATAAGGAAGTATTTAAACATAAATAAAATCTAATGTCTATATATGTATATAAGTCCATAGTTGTCTAGGGAATTATATGTACATGAATGTTGAAGCATTTATCTATACATTCATAATGTATCTGTGGCATAGGGAGTTATCTAGAAGAATTATGAAATATCTCTAGATCCTTGGATGTCTAAGGAAGTATCTATACAAACGTAGGTGCCTAGGGGAATGTCTATTCATCTGTAGATGTATAAAGAAGTATCTATAGATATTTAGAAAAGTATCTATGCATCCGTATATACATATAGAGAAGTATCCATAAATATATGTAGTCAGAGGGGCAAGGACGAAAGCAAAGTTACTTATGAATGGATTGTTGAGCGAATTCCTTATTCCATATACTTCAAGATGTTGACCAGATACTGTCTATGAGCTATATATCCTATTTCGTCAAAGAGTTAAGGGTACCACAAGAAGCAAGCCAGCAAGGAATGAGCTGAAGGTATGGCAGCTCAGATAACTTTCTCAAACCGAAAAGTTTGTAATCCATTTATATATTTTATATTTGGCAACAATAATCGCATTAAAATCGAATGTCAAAAGTGAATATTCAAAAGCTGCTTCGGACCTAAGCTAACACGCAGAGCTGCCCAGTTGGTGAGCTAAAAAAGTAAATGTGATTAACAAAGTTTTCATTGCGCAGCTCCAAGCCCGATTATTACTTGAGGGAGCTAGAAAAACTAGAGCGGGTGTGCGCGTGTATGTGTGTGTGTGTGTGTGTGTGTGTTGCACTCCACAATTATGTTTTTGTTATGTCATAGTCAAAGCGCGAGCAGAATGCACGTAGAGCTGCGATAAGCGCGCTTGCAGAAAAAAAAGCGAAAGAAAAAATGAAGCAGTTGATGATGAAAGTGGGCTAGTTAGCCGGGGTCGAAAGCGCAGCGAGTTGCCCGGCTAGTGGCAGACAGTGAGTCACGTGCGCCGATAGAACGATTATACGACGGCGACCGTCAATCCATTTGTGTGTCTTATGTGAGTGCACATGGACAAAGGCGATTGAATAGCGTCATCCGCTTCCCATGCGCTGCAGACGGTGCCATCTGCTCATATAAGGCGACGCTGCGGACCAACTAGCCATCAGTTCCAGCACCGATCCAGCACCACCACCACTCCAACATGTCTGCGTTCAGCTTCTGCCTGCTCATCAGCCTGGCCATTGCCGCCGTTGCCCAATACTACGGCGACTCCTACTACGACGACTACAGCTACAGCCAGTACGGCGCCGCCTCTGGAGGCGCTGCGCAGCTGGACTACCTGTATAGCGAGGTGGCGCCCTCGTATGGCACCGCACAGTACAGCGTGGCACATGGCTCGGACGGCCGATCGTACGCCTATGCCGCGGCCAGTGGAGCCAACGGCGCTAGAGCCGTGGCCGAGGCACCTGGCTCCTATGGCAAGCAAATTAGCGGCAGCTATCCGATCTACCCGTCTGTCTACGTGACGGCTGCACCCCCGGCGGCGACTACGCCTGCTCCTGTAACCGGTCCTACAACGGCGACTACACCTGCTCCTACATATGCGCCTGGAGCTGCTCCTACATACGCCCCGCCAAATGGATATCCTACAGCAGCTCCTACCGCAGCCCCTACCGCAGCTCCTACCGCAGCTCCTACCGCTGCCCCTACCGCTGCCCCTACCGCAGCGCCTACTGCAGCGCCTACTGTAGCTCCTACGGTTGCTCCTACGGTTGCCCCTACAGTGGCTCCTACAGTGGCTCCTACGGTTGCTCCTACAGTGGCTCCTACAGTGGCTCCCACAGTTGCTCCGACAGTTGCTCCAACAGTTGCCCCTACAGTGGCTCCCACAGTGGCTCCCACAGTGGCTCCCACAGTTGCTCCTACAGTGGCTCCCACAGTTGCTCCCACAGTGGCTCCCACAGTGGCTCCCACAGTGGCTCCCACAGTTGCTCCTACAGTGGCTCCCACAGTTGCTCCCACAGTGGCTCCCACAGTTGCTCCCACAGTGGCTCCAACAGTTGCGCCTACGGTTGCTCCTACGACAGTGGCACCTACCACACCAGCCGTAAGTACTCTCGTCACTTTCTCTCGCTCTCTCTCTCTCTCCCTTTTTATCAATCTATCTATTCACCTTGCTCCCTCCCCACTCCTCACTAGTTGTTCTTTGCCCTTCTGGCAATCTCTCAATCATTCTGTCCTATTTTCTCTCTCACACTCTCTTTTTCCATACATCTTGTTTTCATTACCGTTCATAAGACTCCTCTCTCTAGCTTCTCTCATCATTATATCCCATTTTTTTTCTAACACTTAGTATTTCCTCTAACATTCCTTCATTCCACTTATTCGTAAACGTTTCTCTCTTCCTTCCAGGGCGCAAGTCCCTTCAGACTCGTCGTAAGCGCTGGCGGCGTTCAAATATTCAGCGTTGCAATCGACTTGAACTGTGCTACGGGAAATATTTATGAGATTAGCCTGACCCAGGGCACTGCACCGTTCTTCGAAGTGAGCGGCTGTCTGGCGCCCTAGAAGACAACTAACGACAACTAACTTTAGCAATACGAATAAAAATACTAATAACATAATAGAGATATAGGTATACATATATAAGTGTAACCCTTAATAATCATAATAAAACTGACTAGAGAACGAATTTGTTGTTACTATATCATATATATATCATTTGTCTATTAGTTAGTAAATCCTTTAGCTAATCCCTTGTCGAGTGGAATATTTCGCAGCCAACATAGCGCTCTACGCCTTTTCCGTTCACACTTTTCATGCAAACAGGTGTTTTGCCTTTGATACGCCACTCGATTGCACACTCTCTGCCCCTCTCTCTATCTGTCTCTCTTTCGCTTGCTCTCGCTCTTGCGCTCTGTTTTCATTGTTTTCTATTTGCATTTGCCTTCGGCCTAGGCTCTGTTCGTGCTTATCTGTCCGGCAATAAATGACATTAAAAGCTTTAAAACAAAAATAATAGAAACAGCAATTGACAATGGAGAGACCCAACATCGCCCTCTCGCCTCTCTCTCTCTCTCTATCATAGCGGAAATTAAGGATAGACAACATTTTACACACACACACGTACACGTAAATGATATTTACATTGGAATTGGTTTTGTGCTGGTTTTTCTGCTTTGATATCATTTCGGAAATCTTGAGTTGAAATTTTGTGTTTTGTTTTCATTTGCATTGGGCTGGAGTGTAAAGAGTTTGCAAACTTTCCCATTTACATATAATTTGGTTGTCGCCTTTTTTTCATGGATTTCACATTTTCGCCCACGTCAATTGGCCTCCATTGTCACTTTAATTGGTTTCTGCTGCCCGTTAGAAGTCACTTGATTCCTGAACATTTCTCTCCACTTGACGCTGTTAATTAAATTGTTGCTGCTTCTCTCTGACCTCCAGAGCTATGCCTACTCCACTCTCGCTTTTGATGATTATTTCATGACTTTTCCATCACAGAAACTTCAAATGCATCGCCTCTGCGAGTTGATTAAATATTTAGTATTAGCCATAATTTTTAATCAAAGCTGTTGTACTCATTGAATCCCATGCTGCCTTTCATCGACCCACGGGCAACTCGTTGGCATTTGCCGAAACTCGTTCCGGTTTGTGTGTGAAATTATATTTTTAATTCAATTTTAGTTTCAATTTGTTGTGATTTTTCATTATGTTATACTCATTAAAAGTTGCCTAACTGGGGAAAGTTAATTAGGAATGCGCTAAAAGTGTCCAAGGCGAAGCTATGAATACCCTTACCTAGTGCTATGAATAAGTAAGTGTGGGTGGGTGTGGAATACAGCAAAAGATAAATCTAGTTAGCTTTATCTTCTCAATAGACTCAATAGACAATATGTGAGAAGCAAAAATATTTCGTTATCGCTCTTCTACGTGATTCTCATAAATTTCACTTTTTATTGATTTCCAATTGAATCAATTGTTTTTCAGCAAATACTCTATTACTTAATCTATCTCTATCTCCTTCTGTCTCTCTCTCTCCCCCTCTTTTCCTACTCCCTGGCTCGCAATATTCACGTCAAGTAAATCAATTGAAACATTTTTATTTCAGAGCCCATGAAAATATATATACCTTGCTGTACGGCGTACAAATTGCAATTAAATAGAATATGAGAAAAAGTCATGAAAGGTGTTTTTAGTTTTTCTCACACCTGCGAGTGCGCAATAAACAAGAGAATAAAAATGGAAACGTAAAGCTATTAAAAGCCAGTGCTACCGACTGTAGAATGCACGTTCAGAGCTAAACTAGAGAAACTTTGACTAAATTTATTTAGATTTTCCGTTTACACGACAGCCACACAGACCCAACATACTCTCATTTCAGTCTATGGACGAGCGTGGGGGAAAACTCGAAGGGCAAAGCGGATTGGGAAACGCTGATATTTACAAGACAGCTGGGCGCTGGGGCTAGTATCGCTAGCTGGCTATCAATTGGGCCAATTGTTGGCCAATGTTGTTGTCATTATCATTGTCATTATTGTTGGCATTGGCATTGTCATTGTCATCTTTGTATTTGTTGTATTTGGCTTAAGCATCCTAAGCCGGTTATCGAAAAAGCTGGCAACTCACATAAATCAACATATTCGTGGCATACCCTAACTGAATCTCGACTGGGGTATATTAGTATGGGAAGACAATTGATTGAATAGAATATTTGGCGAACAATGGATTTTCTTCACAATTGGAATTCTCTTCATTTTCTCTGGCATAGAATTGTATAGGGTATGCATACGTCGACTACATGCCGTTGCCGCTGCTGCTTGGATTATTTTTTAATAAATTTGCTTAGCTGGGCAAACAAAAAAGAAAAAAAAAAGGAAACAAAAATCGTTATTTAAATTTCATCGAGCATAAATCAGAGTCCGGGCGGTGGCTGTCGGGCTAAAAGAATTTGATTTTAATTTTGACTTTGATTTCATTGCTTTCACTTTTGCATTGATATTTATGGCCGTGAAATTGGCTTATAACATTACGCATTTGCCCCCCGTTGCTGTTTACAATTAATCCAAATCAAAGCGGATGGGGATCAAAATGTTTTTGTTATTTTATATTGGCTTTGATTACTTGAACTTGGMCGCAAGTGGTTTGCTCTTGACTCCATATGCGCTGCACTCGGTCTCTGTGTGAGTGTGTGGCGATGTGTGTGTACGTGTGTGTGGCTGTGTGTGCGTGTAGTCGGAAATCAAATGAATCGATTAAAGTGGCACAAAATGTAGCACAATTTACAACACCTGACTGCCGCACTTTGGAGCATTGCATATGAGGCTAGACTTTTAGACAACTCTCTCTCTCTCTCTCTCTCTCTCTCTCTTTGTTTCTGTGTAGCAAGGTCCTTCTCTCTCTTTCCGTTTCTATTTTCTCTGTTGACGGGCTAAAATTCGCACAGAAAGCAAGCCATGAATTCGTAATCGGCTTTGTACTGCCTCAACATAAGGCAGCTATAAATTAGCTTAGCATCCGATTGATTCCTTATTTCTATGTAATCACAAGGGACTAGGAGATGCAGGGGTAAGGACAACGGTCGGGAGAGCGAGATAGGTAGAGGGAGAGAGTGTGTGTGAGAGAGAAAAGTTCGAACGAGAGTGGGGAAAAAGGGAGAGAGAGACACAGTACAAGACAGAGAGAGCAAACAGTAAGAGAGAGAGAGAGAGTGTGTGTGTGTGAGAGAGAGAGATATGATATTCAGAGAAGAAGCCAGATTGAGCACGAAGGGGGTAAAGGCAATGAGAGCAATATACAATATAATGTGAGTGAGAGATAGGCAGAGCTAGAAAGTAAATCCGGGAGACCTGAGAGAATCGAGAGATAAGAAACGGGAGAGGGAGAGAGATAGACATAAATGTAGATTAGGAAATACATATCTAGTGATACTGAGAGAATGAGAGAGAGAGAGAGAGAAAGAAAGAGTAAGATAAAGAGAAAGAAAGAGTAAGATTAAGAGAAAGGGAAGGCGAAAGAGAAAAATATTAATCTTTAGCACAAATCAAAGTCTTTGCAAGACTCAGTCAGGTTACTCTGGCAGTCGACAGCTATCAATGTGAAGGAAGTGGAGTTATTGCTGCTGGGATGTACGCAATCAAAGTTAAATGGCAAGCATAAGGTAATCGTAATTGGAGCTGCAACTAAAGCCCTGGAGTTTCACTTGAAACTTCTCGAAATGGTCTATTCAGAATTCAAATTGAATAAGCAACATGAATGGAGCACAGGCAAATGGGGCGTGTTGGCAGCAGCTGAGGGACAAGTAACATAATTGGGAGTTGCGAGTCCGCAAAGACGAAAGACGAAAGACGAAAGAAAAAAAAAAAAAGAAAATGAAAACACAAATTAAATATACATGAAGAGCACAATTACCAAATTTGTATACTTAATGTGGGGCTATCTCTCTTTGTATGTGTGTGTAATGGAAAATTGAGGTGAAGTCGGCGTCGACGGCGACTGAGAGGACGAGAGGACGAGAGGAGAGGGCGACGGCGTCTGTGGCACATGAAATTCAATCCAGTGTCCATCTCTGGTAACGTTTTTTGTTTGTGCACGTATAAAAATTTAATAAGCGCCCAAAAGTCGGCAACAATAAAAAGCCGTGAGTCGTAGTTGCAGGCAACGCAATGCGATGAGTCGCTGCTAAATTCATAAGCCCTCCCGCCCACAGGGGCCCCCACACGCCCCCAAATTATGCTATTAAAGGCCGGCCACGGCTCGGCCAATGAAATGAGCAACACTTTGGATGGATGGGGCTGGAGGTGCGGCCGCACTTGAACCGAAATTGACATAGGACACAGGTCGGACAGAAGGTCTCTTGCAGCTCTTGTAGCCGGCTCTGCCGGCTCCTTCGAGTGTCCATAGCCAAGGGCCAGCGCGGCCGTGGCAAACGGTGCCTGTTGCCTCATTACTGACGCGTTTTGCGGCGGCCTAGGGCCTAGGGCCTAAGGCTTAAGCGCCCAGCAGTGCAACAAGCAAACTGCCTATGCGAATTTACCAGAGTAGATATCTGTCCAGGCAGATATCTGTCCTTTTGGCTGGGAAGTGTTAAGCTTAATCTAATTTGAGTTATGTTTACATGACCTTTAAATTCTTGCTCTAAACTTCGAGCTGAACTTTGAGCCCCTCACGTTCTATACAGAAGCACTTAGTGTTTATGGTCGTTTACGCTTGGCCCTTTCAATCCTTCCAAAGCGACAATATCTGTCTTGACCAACACATAGAACTCTGTTTTGTTTTCTTTGTTTTCTTTCTACCACTTTTCATTTGTTATTTTTCGTCATATATGCAAATGTTTGCACTGTTCTGCGGGGATATTTATTCCAGCGCGTGTGCGTGAGCGTCGGGTGTGGGTAGATTGTACACATGGCATTCTAATGAGCATTGCCAAAGCGGCGCTGCCTCCATTATGACGCGTGGCAAGTTCATAAAAGCAAATAGAATGGGGGAACTAAGAAAACAGTTCGTTTCGAGTTGTAGCCAATGGAACATCCTATAGTAGATAGCTGAACGTATCCGACTATGCTATACTGCATCAATTATGATTACGGATGCATTACGATAATGATATTAACAAATACAATGATTAAATGATAATGATAATGATTAAACAAATACAATAATAGTAATAATGATAATAATAATGCTAATACTTTAATTATTATTTGAACTACTTAACTAATGTAGTTCAAATAATAATGTTAACGGTAATGCTGATTGTAATAGTAATGATAATGAATGAAATATTACTAAAGGCAATGGCAATGCTAATGCTAATGCTAATGCTAATGTTATTGCTAATGCTAATGCTAATACTAATGCTAATGCTAATGCTAATGCTAATGCTAATGCTAATGCTAATGCTAATGCTAATGCTAATGCTAATGCCAATGGTAATGCTAATGCTGATTGTAATAATAATGATAATGAAAGAAATAATACTAAAGGCAATGTTAATGCTAATGCTAATGTTAAAGCTCATTATAATTCTAATAACAATGAAAGAAATAATACTAATAGAAATGCTAAATATAATTACAGTATAATAAACAATCTAATTTTGAAGCAAATGCTAATGTTACCGCCCATGCTAATGCATTAGCTAATAATATTTATAATTTATTGAATATTGAATATACTGGTTATAATGAAAGAGCCAATGTATATGCCAATGCCAATGCTAATACAAATGATGATAATATTGATGGCAACACTAATGTTAATCTTAATGTTAGTGTCAATGCTAAAGATTTACGCTAATGCTAATGCTTAGGTTAAGGCCTAATGTCAATAATCATGACCATAGCAAATGTTGATAATAAAAATTGTTGTTCAATTCATCTCAGCCTCACAGCATGAAAACTCGCTTTAATGATAAACATCCATCTTCAACGAGACGAAAAGGTTGCCTCGCGTAGGCCATCCTAAACCATATATTATTTCACTATAAATTTCGAAAGGCATTCTATACTAGATGCGTGAACGTGTTGAGGAATGCTGTCATTTGGGGTTAACCCACATTGAGAGCCAACGCGGAAAATAAGGCATTTATCACGGCCAATGAAAAAAGGCGCCGAGCATGATTTTTGTTCTATCTATTATTATTATTTTTTTTATCATTTGTTCTTTTTTCCGTTCTGTTTCCCTTTCCGGCACAATGCAACAAACAGAAGGAACAAGGAAAAGTGTCACACAAAGCGCTCAATGAATGAAAAGAAATGGCCAAAGACGCTGAACAAAGGCAAATGGAATCCAGCTGCAGTGACGAGGATGTGCACAGGTGAAGGCAGGCGGCTAAGAAGCGAGCCACTCTGTGCCACTCTCTGCCACTAAATACAAAATGAAAGTTATACAATTAGCAAACGTCGCTGGCGGCCATTCAATTTGCCTCCACGTGACCGCCACGAGATGTTTTCCTCTGCCGCGGGCGACGTAATGGGCGCGACCGATGGTTGGGTGGTTCTGTGGCCCTGTGGTTCAGCGGTTGAGTGGTTGAGTGGCGGTCGGGCTTTTGGCTGTTTTGTGTTTGGTTTGGCATTTATGCAGCGGTTAGGCAGCTAATCGAATCAGCTTGCCGCAGCAAGTCTCGCACTAAATAAACATGTTTGCTAGGGGGCCCACGCGACGTATACGTAACGTTCGATAGATTTGCCAGCGACTATTTTTTTTGAAGAGCTATACAAATAGCGGCGGGGGCGTGGACGGGGGTGTTCGCATGAGAATGAGAGGAAATATTATTTTTTGATTTCGCTTCACTTCATTTCTCGTCCATTTTATATTTGTCCGCACGAAGTGGCGCGAATTTATGAACGGGGACGTCGCCGTGAATAAATCATAAATGCATTGGCATGAAATTTCAAACGTTTTCATTTTTTTTTTTTTTTCTTTTCTTTGCTCCTCCCCTTTTGAGGAGAATATTGCACTTGAGCATGCCATGCAATTCACAGTCAGAGGGAATTTGTTCGTTTATATTTTACTTTTGTCGGCAATCAATAGCATCATATTTATTTAATAGGATTTCGGGCGTGCGAACTATTTATAGCGGCAGTAACACTTCCTCACTAACTAAATACGTGGATCTACAGCGAACACTTACCTGCACGCAGCAGGGCCATCTGTGCTAGAGACGGATTGTTGTTTACTTTTGCCGACTGCGCTCTATCATTAAATATATATAAATATAGTATATATATTTGTGTTGATATATACAATGGATCACTCAATTCCCTTACACTTTAGTTCGCGCCAAAAAACAATAAAAAAAAGAAAAACAATCAAAACAAATTAAGTTGAATATTAAACAATCTGATTTGAAAACTCTTGCAGCTGCGACGACCGTTCGCAACGGCTTCGCGTTGGTAAATGATGCCGGCGCGAGGCTGAGCGCTCTGCCATGGAGTCCTAACAGACTTATCCTACAAGTTGGCCAGCAAGCAGTGCCAACTGTTATACGAGGGTCGTTTGAACTGATGCACAGTGGTGCAAGTATTTAATGATACATTTTGATTGAATTTGAGCGCAAACGTTTTTTTTTTTTTTTATGGATATACAAATTTTAGTAACGCTTACACATATTTTTCCTTCCTATTCTTTTTGGCGCATGGGAATATTGCATCACTTTCCAAAATTTTAAGATTATTCATTATAAATAAATACAATTTTAGCTATAATTTCTTAAAAAGGTAAAACACTTACCTTAGTTTTCTTAGTGAATATAGAATTTAGCTTAGCTAGCACGGTAGACAGTATATTTCTATTATGTATATTCTCGATTGGAATGAACTAAGTTGATGTAGTCCCGTATATCTATCCGTCCGTATGAATGCAGAGTAACAAAGACTTAACATTTTTAACCTGAAAATAAGTTTTGTGCTCTCAGCTAGGCTTAAACTCATTGCTGGCCGTTAAGCATATGTTCTATTGATAAACCTTTTGACATTTGACTCTGTAATTATTGTACTTATAATCACATATATAGTTTAAATATATTCATATCACATTAACCACTGTGCGTGGGCCCATCATTTGGTAACTTGATCTTTGTTTGAACTCTAGCCCCATCAAATTGTGCGCTAGAACACTTAATTGCTCTTTATAGTTGTTAATTAAGGGCAATAAAGTTTCAAATAACTATTTCAATGTAATTACGCAGGCAGGAAATAACCCGAAAAAGGAGTAAAAAGTGTGAACAATTTTTATCAACAAGATGATATAACTTTTATAAAAATACTAAAAAGGAATGGCGAACGAAGCCTGGCATAAATGAACATTTCAAGGTGAAGTTTAAAGATACATTTGTATTATAATTGAAAAGCTCTCTTTAAAAATGAGGGAAAATTTATGAATATAGCTAAACCCACAACATTTTTAAATCATTAAAAAAATGAGTGTTATAAAACTGTCATACTCCTTGCATATGTTAAGATATGTTTTAAGCAGCGCTCGTTGTGGACGTCAGCGGATGGGAGATGCTGCGCACTGCTTGGCGAACTGCTTGCGGAGCTGTCATGGCGACAAGCAGGTCAAGCATGGCAAGCAGTTATTCAAATTGAAGTGCATCCGCAGAAATACATTGCACTGCAACTCCATTTAAAGTTAATTAGTTTACATTGATAGCTTAATTAATTTAGTTAGCCACCAGCCGGAGGTTACAAAGAATGGTGCAAAGGTACAAGAATGTTGTGTCTGGCGCCAGCCTTTTGTTGTGTTGAGTGCAGGTCAGGCACGTAAGCAGCGAGATGATAAGACAACGACGTATGCCGACGTCTGCTACGGCTGCAGCGAACATAGAGAGAAAAAGACAGAGAGAGATAGGTGGAGATAGATGCGAGGCGGCAGCAGCAGCTATGCATCTTAGGTTTCTCTCTCAGGTATAAAAAAGCGAGTGCAGGGCGAACAAAACATACTATTGGCCCATAGACCTTCAGCATGTGGTCACAGCTCGCTACCATTGCATTGGCACTCTGTTCCCTCGGCTTGGTCGCTGCCCAGCGCTGTGTGGATCAGGTGCACCACGAGCAGCCAGCACTAAGCGGACGCGTCGACTATGCTGCCTGCGGCCGATCTGTGTGCGCCACAGACGGCTACTGCTATCGTTTGTTCCACAACATTTGCTACCTGAACGCTTACAATGTGCGTTTGCTGTTCGCTGGCCAACGGGGTAAGTTTCCAGCTGGTAGTGAACTAAAAGCTCGCCGATCTTTCATCTCAAATATTCCTTAGCACTTGTGCAGGCTGACATACGGCATTGCTTGCCAGAGCCAAGGTGGCTCGACTACAACACACCCTACGATCCACGATTGCTGGCTAGCCCCTATGTGAACGCCAACAAAGGCCATGCAGGTGCCTACGAGACACCCTATTTATATGAATCCGTCGATACAGAGCCAAGCTACTCCAGATCATATGATCCCTATCTCTACTACAAGGCACAGGACACATATTCGCCGACCAACGGCTTTTATTATAGGAATATGCGTGAATATTTGACTCAACGTAAACCTAAGCCATCGACTTCGTACAGGAAACCTAAAGCGAAATGCTCAACAACAGCATCACCAATAACTGCATCCACAACAACAGTATCCACAACACCAATACCTACAACAACAGCATCTACTACCGCATTATCGACATTAGCATCATCCACCACAACAGCTTCTACAACAACACCATCCACAACCACAGCTTCTACAACAACACCATCCACAACATCCACAACAACAGTTTCTACAACAACAGCTTCTACAACAACACCATCTACAACATCCACAACAACAACTTCTACAACAACTCCATCGACAACATCCACAACAACAGTTTCTACAACAACAGCTTCTACAACAACACCATCTCCAACAACCACAACAACAACTTCTACAACATCCACTACGCCAGAGTCTTCATCAACAGATTCTACAACAACTGCTTCCACAACAACGCCATCCACAACAACAGTACCCACAACAACAGCATCGACAACACCATCCACCACAATAACATCCACGCCATCAACTACAATAACTGTAAACTTATTAGGATCTGCAGCAAATGTTGCACAGTCCCCAACACCATCCACAACGAATTCGCCAACTATTTCAAGCACGACGCAATCAACAACTACAACAACAGCAACGAGCCCACAAACCACATCGCCGTCCAGCTCGTCAGTTACAGCAGCATCCACAGTAAGTACTACAGTAGTATCCACAATAGCATCCACAATAACGTCCAAAATAAATTTAATATTACAGTCGAGCACCCCTCCGGCTACAACAGCATCTACCGCAGCACCCACAACCGCCAGCATCGACTTGGATGACGTAAGTAGTAGCTAGTGCAATATTACAGCAACTTCCACACGTATTACCACGTGTGTCAGGTATAAAATTCAACACTCGATAATCTCTACTCTATATATTTTCTTTCGAGTAGAACACTCTGGTTTCTCTGGTCTTCACAATGCCCAATGGCCGGGTCTTTAGACTCTCTATGGCCTCGCAGATAACCAACCCAACAACGGGCAATAAGACATGCGCCGAGGAGACGCAGTTAGAGCTGCGATATAGGGGCCTATCGGAGCCGCTGAAGTTCACTGGATGCCTCTACAACAACTCGACACGAAATGGAACGAACTATGGCCCCACAACAACTATCAGACCAACGCCTAAACCATACTACAGCCCAAGCAGATTGGTTGACTATAGACCCGTTGGCTACCTATATAGCATTACGTATGGCTCTGCCTATGAGGCCCCCTACGGATCCGGTGCTGTACCTCAATATAGAGCGGACCCTGGACCCCGCTATAGCTATGGACCACGCCATGGCAATACTAGGCTTAAAGTTCATGCCAGCGCCTCCGCTTCAGCAGATGTCCCATATTATGACTAATATCAATATCTATGACCCACCTCAATGGTACTCGACCTCATTATAATCAATAAGACTTACTATTTGTACACCATGCATATACTATATATAAATAAATAAATAAATATATTTTTGATACCTAAGCAACTTCTTTGACACTTGATACGTGAGATATGCCATTGAGCATACTTAGAGACCTACCTCAACGATATTGCCATAAGCTATACAACTTGCATAATTGCATACCGTGCATAGCTATAGAGCTGCATATACGTATATGTACATGAGTATTTGAAACATGACACCTGATACCAAAGGTATTCCAAATTTGTGGATATTTCAAAGTTTTTTGTGATTGCATTTTCTATATGATTACGTTTCCTTCAGGTCTACGGGGCTTAAAGCTGGTGTTGAATCATTAAACTTTAATACTTAAAGTATTACACAAAGTTTCCTCCTCTCAACGATCCCATCATAAATAATAGGAATTTCTTTTTATATG